GTTTGCTTTAAATGTATCAAGACGTGACGTCGTGTTTCGTATTAAGTCTAAAACGACCATCGAATCCGTCCACAAGAACTTGCACTTAATTGGAAGTGTTAGTTCTGTTTCGGCTTGTTTGACCAGTTTGACGACGAGAACCGCAGCGGTAAGCTCCAACCTTTGTATAGTTTGGACCTTAAGGGGTGCGACGCGGGACTTGCCCCAAACAAACGTCGCAAGTGAAGCACCGCCCTTCGTCATTGCACGAAGATAGACGACTGCTCCATACCCACTTTTGACGCGTCGGAGAAACCATGTAATTGATACTGCTCAACGGCGCCTATACCCAGCGGTACCAAGCGTCGTTGTATGCGAATGTCTGGAATTGTTTCGTCCAGCAAAGTTACTGTTTCTTAAGGTCATTGCCGATCTCGTCGTCCCATCCAAGGTTGGCTCGGCACAATTGCTGTAGTAGCATCTTGGCCGGCAACAGAAAGGGGGCAACAAATCCGAGTGGGTCGTAGAGGGCTGAGATATAAGAGAGCATAGTCCTTCTGGTGGCTGTAATTTCGGGCAACTTGACCGTGAAGACACATGCCTTTGTCTGCTCTTTCCTCCTCAGGGGTATCTAGAAGAGCCTCTGTCGAATTTCTTCGCCATTTATCTAGGCGGAAGCCGTGGGTTAGCAGGGCGCTTCGGAGGCTAAAGGCTAGATCCGTGAGAGCTTGAGCAGAATCGCGGCTAATTAGGCAATCGTCAACGTAGAAGCAACGGTGCACGTAATCGACCTCGGAAGCCTTTGACAAGTTTTTCGCCTGCTTTATTGATTGATTTAATGCATAAATAGCGGCACATGGGGAGGAGATGGCTCCAACGGATGTACCTTCATTTAATAAACCTCAGGGTTACGTGTCAAGTCGCCGCCCGTCCACCACAGAAAACTCAAACATGAACGTTGGCACTTTGGTACTCGGATTTGGTGAACATGGCTTCTATGTCAGCCACCGTTGCAAAAGGAAACTTGCGGAATCGGGTCAAGACCCCACATAATCCGTTAGCAAGGTCAGGTCCCTGCAGTAGTTGGCGATTTAGAGACGTACCCCTGTACTGACTTGCACAGTCAAACACTACTCGCAGCTTATCTGGTTTCATTGGATTAACTACTGAGTGATGTTTTAGGTACCAAAGTTTTCCAGGTACGGAGATGGATGTCGATACAGCAAGTTCTGCGTAGCCATTCTTAATGTTCTCTGAAATTGCTTGTACGTACCTATCTCTATACTCAGGATTTTGCGGTTCATCAATGCATACGAACGTGTACGGGCGATAGGCTCGTTGTTGGGCAGGCAGGGCGAAACTTCCCTCCAAGG